AATAAAAGTTGTTATCAAAAAACTTGCGTGGCAATACAGGGTAATACAGAGTGAATTACAACTGGAGCAATTTATTGCGAGCAGAGGAAAACCTTTATAAACGTACCTCAATTTTTTATGTAGTGTATTGATGATCTGTAAACAGTTTGCAGGGGTCTTAATATATATAAGCCCGTAAATAATCCAGAGGTACAGTGAAGAAATTTTATAGTGTATTTTGAGCAACTTTCTTATTCCAGAACAATGCATTTGTAGGTTTGGACGAATCTGAAAAAGTGGCTTGGAATTTTTTGCAATTACATTTTAATCACAAAATCTCCGTTCTCATGTATCAGCTTTTTAGCAATTTGTAATCATCTTTTTTTGGTAATCTAGTCTTTAACTGGTCTTTTTTTTCATAATAGCTCCACGCTTGTTGAGGAATTTTTTTAGAACTGAACTTGTGCTGTCACGGCTGAGTTTTGTGCTGTATTGAATTTTGTCATGAAAATTTTTTAAGGGGCGTAAAGCACCTACTATAAGTCTTTCAAAATAGGAACATTACTTGTTGTTTAAAATTTTATGTGGAGATGAAAGTTGCAGCTCAGTCAAGGATTTGAAATTACGGGGCAAAAAAACGTTGCTGACATGTTTTATTGTTTTTGTTCGAGAAAGAAATAGGTTAAACACCTGTTTGTTTTAACACAAAATTTATTTTATTTTTAATAATCACATATGAAATAAAAAAAAGTTTCAGGAAGCAAATTTGGTGCGCAAAAAAAAGAAACAGAACTTCTAAAATTGTGTTCACTCAGCAGCTTCATGAGCTAAAGCCTCTTGTACGTTCTCATCTGGATTTGGGGGAGGCTGAGGCTGGAACGACTATTTGTGCAGTACTAGAATAGTGAAGAAAATTATCGCATGCGGGTAAATGTTAAAAAGTATTTTTTTTTAAGATTTGAGGAGCATTCTTCGCTTATGATTTCAGGATAAGGAACAATAAAGTTTTAGGAAAAATATACATTTGTTGCTGGTTCATCTTCATCTTTTTGTTTTTTTCTTTTTTCCACTGTTTTATTAAGAGATACAGTTTGCATCAAGAGCACATTTTTATAATAAATTCATCTTATAACAGAAAAAAACAAGAGGATGCCTTAAACCACTAGTTCATCATCATCTAATCTGATTATCATACTATTT